TTTACCATCAGGATTTTTTTAATTGCAGGTTAGACATGCACTTGATAAAAATTACTCAGGAATTCATGAGTCTGAACAGCTGAGCAGCAGCAGAACAGCGGGCCACATTTCCTAAACAGTGCTATGAACAGCAAACAAAAACTGAACCTCCTACCCACATACTACAGCAAGTTGGACTGATGAGGTTGAAACACAACAGACCATATGCCTCAAGCTCCTTGGCAGACTCTTATTTCTATCAATTTCTTAAACCACTTCAATTTTCTTTGAAGTTTGGTTCCAATTTAGTTACCATGTCATCTGTTCCTCACATTGGTTCTTTCAAACATATGAAGGAACAATTCACTCAAGTTTCATTTTCCTGCTTACATCACCTAATATTATAGTTCAGATTCTCACTCTGTTGTTCCTTACCAAAACACTTAGCAAAACATAACAAATGCCCTGAACTTGTTCTAGTAGTCTTAGCATGGCTTCCTGTACCTCTCCTAGTCTTTCTCACACCAACGATCACATGCTGCTCACCAAAGCACATTAGTAATTCCACTAAACCTATTCAGATTTTACAGGCATTAATTCATAATACAGATTTCAGGACAGTTATAAAAAGTAAAGAGTATGAGAGAAGCAAGCACCAGAGCCAACTGCTAAGCCAGCAATTGTCAGTGTGTAAGAGACTTGAATTAAAACTGTAAAAACAGCAACGCTAAACAAACACTTTGTTTACCTGGGTAAGTTGGTTTGGTACACAAGAGAAATGACAGAAAGAACAAAAGTCTTTGCATGACACTAATAAAAAAGCTCTTATTTATATACACACTTCCATGTTTACAATAAACTTGTGTGGGACTTCACTGGATATAAAAAGGATTTAACAAATAAAACATCTTTCTGGGCACACATCAGATACCTTCCATCATACCATACACCAACAAAGTGCTGATTCAGTTCAACGTTTCTGGAACCAGTGTTTGGGGTTTTATCTGTGGGATTTAGAGTTATGTTTTCCTTGTACAAGAATGTAATTAAACTAGCTGTCACAGAGGAAAGCTTTAATATTCTCCAGCTATGGAATAAAACACCACCATATTTAACAGCTTTGAACAAACAACAACTAGACCTCCACACAGGTCTAGTTTTTCCAACTAGAAGTCAGCTTCATTTCCCATAAAGACTGTGCAACATTCTCCACACTTCTCAGTAAGTAACCCACTTCTCAGGGGTTCAGCTGTTTCAAGAACTCCCGGCCCAGCTGCACAGCCTTGAACTAAACTGCTGCCAAAACAGATAACTTGAGAGCAGTGTAAGAAAAGCTACGGTGCAGAGCTACGCAAAATAAGAAAGGTAAAATTTCAAACAGAAATCGGATCATTAGCAGCACAAAGATTCAAAAGGAAAATACCCCCGTGGAAAGTTGTGACATCCTGAAGGAAAATAGCAGTAAGCCAGCCGGTTTGGTGGTGCCAGTGGCTTCAGAAGGTGTTGGCACAGAAGATTCATTCCAGGGAGCAGAGGATACTAACATAAGTGGAACAAGTCACCCAAAGAAGTTATTGTTGCCTCATCTCGGGAAGTGTTCAAGTCCAGTTTGGACAGGGTTTTAAGCAACCTGGTCTAGGGGAAGGCACCCCTGTGGCTGGCAGGGGCTTGGAATTACATGATCCTTAAGGTCCCTTCCAACCCAAACCATTCTGTGATTCTTTCTCCTCCTGACTAATGCCCACCTGGTCAGCAAAGACTCTTTAGGTCTCTCACTGAAGGCGCAGGCACACTCAGGCTGATAGGTCACTACATCCTAGTAACCTTTTGTGTGTGCCAAAAACAATTGCTTTATACTTTTAAGCTGCATATACCTTGCTTGCAGTCTCTTTGCACTTAATTACATGTACCCTCAGTTAACCAAAAAGGACAGTACTAACAGATGTTTTCACTTTAAGCCACTAAGTATTCATTGAGCAAGGCTACAGCAGATGTTCAGACTAGGCCCAAGCCCACATCTGCACCCTGAATCTCTGACAGTTACTACAATACCTAATGTCTGGACCACACCACTTCCTAGTTAGTGCTGCAAGTCCCCTCTGCATCCTCAGAGGCTTGGCAGGCACTGTTCTGAGATCAACCACAAAGAACAAGGCCAGGGAAAGTAAGGTTTCAGGTCTTTATGCTCTGTAAATGGATTGAGAGTCGGATCATTAGATGCTACCTCTATTTCCATCAGTGGTCTGATGATTTAAGCTTCCTCAAATTCAAACCAATGACAGGGTTAAACAGAAGTGTTCTGGTAGGTATTTTGTCTCAACTGGTGCCCTGGTATTTCCCTTTTTGCTTGAGAACAGAAAGCTGCTACATAATCAGCTCCTGTTGCAGTTCAGAATTGAACAGGTTAGCACTGAACCATGTTGATTAAAACACACATAGCTGGTGCTTGCAGGACAAACTCTGGGAAAGTCTTTCCAGCACATTACCTTCGCCACAGGGGAGAAAGGAATGGGCATTTGAATACAGCCTCCTCATGAGTGCCTGCAACCTGAATCAGAGTTACCCTGAGAAGACAAGCTCCCTGTGATAACAGTTTCACTTGGAAAGAGAAGCAGTAATTAGCCATGCTGTTAAATTGCTTTACTTCAAACCTGAGTGAAGCCTGGGCTGGTCTCCGCTAGAAGCAGCAACTCCAGTGCCTGCCAGCTCCCTGTGGCACACTTGCTTGTCATCTTCCCTATTCCAACACGCTGCCAATACAGCAGAAAGTTTGAGAAAAAGGCTTTGGATTTATCACTGTAGAATGGCTTGGGTTGGAAGATCCCTTAAAGACCATATATGCTCCAACCCCCACCATGGGCAGGGACACCTTCTAACTAGGTTGCTTAAAGCCTCATGCAACCACAACCTAATGGAGACTTTTTCCCTGTACAACGAAAGGCTCTTGGCATAAGCCTTAACTGCAAGACAATAAATATTAGCTATATACCACAATGAAAATCTAGTTGTTGCCTTGTTCTGAACAGGTAAAGGAGGTCACTTTCAGATGCTGAAAGGAAAGGTTTCAAACACACTGCATCATACCTGACACTGAAAAACAAAATTTCACCTGTAAGTGAAATTTCCAGAATTACACTGAAACCTGCCTTGCTTTTTTCACTGAATAGAACCAACTACTCCTGGTTTAGTTCATAGAGAAGAGCTCGACTATGCTTTTAAGTAAATATTCTCTTGGATCCATGGCCAGAAATTGCATCTGTTGCTTAAGAAGTTGCACACAGTCTCTGTCCCACGCTATAAACTGTATTGTGTTGTGAAGTTCAGATGCATTAAAAGCAGGTATACCCATGCTGTGGTTTGAAAACCACAAACAAGGTATTACTAGTGACAGTACAGATGTGGAAGGTCAGCTCAAGTTGCAGAAGCAGAAATCGTAACAAATACATGGATGCTAGCCCACACAGCAGGCATAAGACCCAAGGTATCTTACATTCTAATTTGGTCTGTATAACAAAGCCTCAGTCATGATTTAATTGCATTGTAGCTGTTCTCCAAGCAAGCTTGTTGAGACAGCAGTAATACACTAAGAAGGAATAAAAAAAAAAATAAAAATAAACCAGAAGAGGACATAACATTTTAATCTGCTTACACATGCCCAATGACTAACTTCGAACGGAAATACCTGAGTGATAAGTACGTAAAGCTTAACATGCAAGCAAAAAAGTGTTTAACATGCAAACACCTCTTCCTCTGTAACAACCTTCTTCAGACCCCTTCTGCAGGCTCATAAAGGATGCAACTGGAAGGAATGCACAGAAACACAGGATGACTAGTACAACGCTGAGTCAGACATATTCGAAATAACTTGTGGTTTGAAGAATTAGCTGATCACACAGCACTGTTTTCTATTGTCATTTATTAGTACCCTAAAAAAACTCGAGTCCATACCTTTATTAGAAAACCTTAACAAAAAAAGAGATATACAGAAACCGATTTATATAGGTATGCGTAACATCCAACTTCAGTCTAACGGCACTTCGTAAAAACAGTCATGCTGCACAAGCCTTGGTTAAGAGACACCTGCCCCCCAGAGTTTGTTTAATACTTTATCTCGGGCACAGGCCAGACACCACACCAGAGGGATGAGCTACAAGCAACAGGTACTCACTAAAGCTCCATCCGCAGCCGATAAACTCTCGTACGTTTTCCAGGCTTTCTCCCTCACACCCTCGGACAGTTTCAGAGCATCACAGAGCCCAACGAAGTCAGCTTCGCCGATGTCGAGCCTAGGAAAAGCAACAGCCATCGTCAGCGGGATCTCCGTGCAGCACACCGACTGCAGACCGACTACATACCGGCCCAGAACTACGGAAGAGCACCGGTGACAGGGCCCCACCCTGCAGAGAATCCGCGGCAGAGGCACAATCCGCCCCGCCGGACACCGGGAGCGCGGTAGCACCTCCGGCGGCGGCGCATGCCGCACACTTCCCCAGCCCGCCCCACCACGGCAGCCCCCAGCCCGCAGAGGACGGCCCCGGCCCGGGCGGCGCTTACCGGGGTGCGGCGAGCGGCGCGGAGCCGCTGTCGGGGCTAGCGCGCTGGCTCTTAGCGGCGGCGTGGCCCGCCCTGCGGGGGGGCTTGGGAGGCATGGCGGCCTCTGGGCCCCGCCGTACAAGCGCCCGCCGCAGACGGCAGTAACGACGGGCTGCCGCTGCTCCCCCTCCCGCTCGCCCAAACTGCGGGTAAACTGCGTCCCCTCCAGCCGCTCTGCCGTCACTTCCGGCCCGGCTGCCGCTCCCCCACCCCACCCGCCGACGAGGAGGAGCGGCGGCCGCGCCCCCGACGCACAAACCGGCTTAGCGCGCCTCGGAACCCGGAACAAGAAGCTAACCGCGCCAGCCGCTCAGCCAATGAACAGCTTCTTTCTTCGCGCTAGCCAATGGGAGCCGAAGCTTCTACGTACCGGTAGCGTGAGCGAAGGTGCGGCTCGCGAGCGGAGAGAAGCAGGGCGGGGCTCGGCTCCGCTCCCTGAGGTAGCGGCTGTGGGGAGGTCGCGGAGAGGTTTTCCAGGGTCCTTCAGGCACTCTGGAGACGATAGCATAGCTATTTGTGGTGTTTCGGCACTCCACAAGCTGGAGGCAGTCGATACATCTTTTCTTTGACATGGGAAGAATCATAGACCTGTACGTGAAAGTAAATAACCATCCAGATATAGAGCAGCACAGAAATAAAAATCCTCTATGACCATCTCAGTCTGACATTCATCCGGGCGCTACTAAGAAGGCTGCTTGGAGACCTCATAGCAGCCTTCCAGTATCTGAAGGGGGGTATAGGGATGCTGGGGATGGACTCTTCGTTAGGGACTGTAGTGATAGGACAAGGGGTAACGGGTTAAAACTTAAACAGGGGAAGTTTAGACTGGATACAAGGAAGAAATTCTTTACTGTAAGGGCGGTGAGGCACTGGAATTCGTTCCCAAGGAAGTTGTGAATGCTCCATCCCTGGCAGTGTTCAAGGCCAGGCTGGACAGAGCCTTGGGTGAACATGGTTTAATGTGAGGTGTCCCTGCCCATGGCAGGGGGGTTGGACCTTGATGATCTTAAGGTCCTTTCCAACCCAATCCATTCTATGATTCTAAAAAACTGCTGTGCATTACAATTACATAATATTACAATTTAGTATAAGAAATTCTCCAGGCTTTGAGGCATCTTTTAGATTTTAAGCCAACAAAATTAAAATCCCAAGTGCCCTGATGCACAGACCTTAAATCAACCGTGTATCCTGCAATCACATATCCACATTTAGAAGGCAGATCACTGCTGCAAGCAACTAGAATATTTACTTTCAGATTTTTGTTATGGGAACTTCTTAGAAAAAGCAAAAATCTGTGTATGTAAGGACACTACTACATGCACATATTTATTAATCTGGAAATCAGCTTGGTTTAGTGAGATGGCTGTCGCAGCTCTGGATTAAAAAAAAAAAAACAGTACAACTATGGTATACAATAAAAATTCCCAAGTATTTTTAAGATGGACACACTATTAATTTGTTCATGCTTTTTCTTTATATTCATTAACTTATTTTCAAACAGGAGAACAGTCTTTTTCTGATTCATAATTAGAATTAAACCGATTACAGTAAAGTGAATACAGAACAAATGGGATTTCTGGGGCAAATTGAAGTATAGAAAATTAAGTGGTTCAGTTACAGACTACAGTGGGATTTAGACATTCCTTATGATTTTAGTAAAACTGTGACAGTAACTCTGCCCTGGTTCTAAGCACGTTTAAGTACTTCTTGTAGTCAGATGATACCAGATGCTGCGGAAGGTTTGGAGCCTGGGGCTGCGTGGTGTCTGCAGTGGAACGGCAAGGCAGATCTACCAGCTTGGAAGAGTAAGCTGACCCTTGAGTAACAGATGAGGCCATTGTCCTCTCCTCACACTGGCTTTATGTGCACGGAAGAATTTAAAGTGAGAGCAAAACATCTCAGAAAACTTGGTCCCAGCCAGTGGAGACCCTCCCAGCTGTCAGCGAGAAGGAAACACACCCTCCTGAGTCGCTTCCCTCACAGCTGCTTTAACATGTTTTTGGAGCCAGGCCCTAGATCATCCACATGATAGGCAAAGAATCTGTGTTGCTCTCATAACCCTCTGTGCATTAGTGCTCAGGGAACATCATATCCTTTTAAAGAGCTGACAACCAGCCTCAGTCTAAATACTAATTTTCTAAAATTGTTGGTGTGCCAAGCACTTTCTCAATCAAATTTTATGTGCTTTTTCATCAAGCAAGGCATTTAGGGCTCCCAAACAACCAAAATATAATCTCAGAATGCTTCAAGTTACAACTGGAGGGAGAAAAAGGGAGTCAGCAGATGAATCGAGCTACAATAACCTATAATCCTCCATTATGGAGCATCAGCTGTAGTAGCTACATCTAAACTGCAGTAAGATAATGAGTATGCATGTACTTCCACAGAAAGGCACATGCATGTGTAAAACCATATGTAAATCACCGCGCTCTCCCCACCCCCCTTGTTAGCTATGATGATTTGAACATTTTAATCCTATTTGAAACATTTTCTTTAAAATGGAGCCTTTGGGCTTTTGGAATAAAATTACAAAGGAAAGAAGAAAAGCAGCTCTTACAAGAAACAAAGGAAACACTGCAAGGTCAAATAGAGTATTAATAATAATGTCTCATGTGACCTGACAATATCTTTATTCTAAACATCTTGCTGCAACAGCTTTTAAAGTGCAGGTCATAGACAGATGGCAGTCTGTGAAACATTGCCCAGTCAGGCTGTCCTGACTCATTGTTTCCAGATGCTACACAATCTTAAGTAATTTTATTATCTTTATTTTTTTTTTCACTTTAAACTGTTGCTATAGTTTCATGGCAGTTGCCGGTAGGAATTGGAGTCATGCTTCCATTGCAAATAAACCCAAGCCTTTTTATTTTGACTCTCACTGCTCAGATATGATAGAAGCTTGCTACTTTTTTTGTTTTCATTAAAGTATTTGTGAAGAGGAAGCTTGATTGAAGTGGACCTCATGGTCTACCAAGACTAGCTGCTTATTTCTATGTTATCACATACCTCTACCACGTCAATTACAATGATGATAAAACCAGTTCTTCTGGATCTTGTTGTACCCCTTGTTGGTGAGCCTGGTTCCTAGTATCCTCTTCTTAATTATCCTACATGAAGATTCAGTTCAAAATATGAAGGATAAAAACAATTTCTAAAAGTTAATATTTCTGCAGTGTTGTAAAATCCATAGGGACTGTGACAAAACCCATTTCTCTCTAAACAGAGACATATTTGTTAGATGTTGCCTCCTCTAACAGTCCAAAGCCTCTCTCCATATATACACGTTATTAATAAAAACATCATTTTAACTCCACATCTGCACACATCTGTGACTTTGTCTTCTCAGAGCATTACGCAGTGCACTGCTGGAGTCTCAGGTACCGTGGGGATCAGTTTAATGCAGGAATCTACCAATGTCTGACCAAATTGCTTCTGGGATCTGAAAGGACACTGTGACTCTTGTTGCTGGATGGAGAAACATCTGTATGTATATGATGCCTATATGCAAAACCTCAACCCAGGCCATGGCATGGATACTTCTGATGCTCTCCCCTTGAGATTAGGTTAGAGAGGTTTTGTATTGATCAAAGTTTTTAGACTTGAGCATCACTTTTTTTCTCTTTTTCCTCGGATAATAGTATTTATCTGACTATAGGAAGATCATAACTACTTATAACTGTATAAAGACCTTAGACATTGCATGTTCTCTGTAAGTGAAAATGGCTGTTGGAGTCATGTCTATTTTAGATTTGTGCTAGCACTGAGGACCAGGCCACTAAAAATAAAACCCCTGCCTGGTGCAATTGACCAGATAAAGCCCCAGTGCAAGTGCAATTACAGCAGAAAAAAATAACCATTCCCTGTGCCCCCTCTGCAGGGCAGTTTGTTTCAGTTGGTACTGCCAGCTGGTACTGAAACAAAGGTCAACAAACCACAACCTCTTTTTGCTTGCAATTACATGGCCACATTAATGACCCTGCTGCAACCCTTCCCTTCCTATCCTGCTCAGGCCAAGGTTCTGCTTCCTCTCACCACATGAGGAAGCATGCTCCAGCACGGGGAACACCCTGTCCTGCTGCTGGTGGGCTCTCTATGCCTCCTCTTCCAAGATTTCCCAAGCCCACAAGAAGCAGAAACAACCTGAAAACCAATTAAAAATTAGCAGCCATAGTCTGCACTGCAGAGACACAGGCATTGCACTGAACTGAACCACCCCCTGATCATGGGGTTTTCTATCTGCTAAGACTGCACCCTAAGATGGCAGCACTCTTTACCGAGCCATGGCAGTGAAATATCCTAGCTAGGTGAAAACGTTTTTGTCTAGCATACCAGAAAAAATCATGGTATGATACCAGTACTATGGGCCCTTCCATGTTGCTTCCTCCATAACATAACATAACCCTCCTGCAACTAGAACAAGCAATGTCAGTGAGTACAGCTCTGCTTGCATTTCCAAACCACAAGATTCTGCTCACACAAGCGTCAGACTTCCACCCTCCCACCCAACTTGTAGGAACAAAAGCATGTACCCACCTTTCCAGGGGGTGGCCTTGTGCCAGGTAACCAAACTCTTCCATTTTGTGTCTTGCAGGCCTTCAGTATCTTCCTCATGCCAAAACTTGCCCTGTGGCTTTTTACTAAAGCTGCAAGACAGCAAGAGAAGCAGGGAAGACTGCAGGCTTTTATCGTGCTTTACAAGCCCAGATCACACACATCGGCTGCTCTCAGCAGCCTTACACATATAAAGAGCTACCAAAACATGAGAGGCTGATTGAGGCCCACAAGGGAGCAACACATCCCCTGACACCAAGTAAGCACAGTGGTGCTGCTTTTATTTCGCTGCTTCAGTGGCAAAATGTGTCTCAGCATTAGGATTCATTTTCTTTCTTACAAGGAGCTTCAGAAATATTCACACAGATAATTGTCCAATGAGGTCATTTTTATCCTCTTTTCTGGAATTCACTGGGCTGCAAATGTGGTTTTCTTCAGTAAGGCACCACCAGGTTTGTTTATTATACTCTTTTTTTATTTAAGAGGAGAAAAAGCCCAAGAAGCTCCCAGAGCTATTTTTGTTCATGGATTTGTGTCCCATACTTCATTGGCATCGTGTAAGAGGACACAAGTTCCAACGGGAGCTTTCCTGCACCCCAGGTGTTTTAGCTCATCTTCCCATAAAAACCGCCTGGCATTTGGGAAGATGTAAGTGTACACTGGGAGCTTCCCGTCAGTGTACCTGAGTTTCTATTTCTGCACTACTGAGGGAAATAAATTTCCTTCCACCATCCATCCAACAGGCTCAGAAGTTATTTGGTACCCAGATGTGCAGTACGATCATATAAACCTCCTGTCTGTGAGAACAAACCTAGTTCTGCCCCCTCTGCCATCCCTTTGGCAGCCTCATCTGCTGGTGTCGCTGTTAAAGGACACACCACAGACCACAGCTTCTCACTGAGCTTTAGTTTGAAAACAAGCTGAAGATGATGCAAGACTTACTTAAAAACTAACAAGTTCCATGTTTCAGCTCATGAAAATGTGGGAAACAGCTTGAAAGTACTTCAGCAGGACTCTCATGTCACACAGGGCTCCAGTGAATGCTCCTGTAACCCTGCCCTGACATACATTTGACCTTAAGCACAAAATTGCAACATCCTGCATGTCTGTAGCTGAAGCTTTCCCATCAGGTTTTCCAGCTTGCTTACATCTAGTCCAAAGTATAGCCATATAAATATAAATTATACATGAGCATCTAACCTGTATCTATGTGAGGGTTTGATGTTTGTTACTGCCATGCACCATCAAGAATGGATTAAAGAAGTCCAGCTGTTAGAAAATAATAATTATACTGTTCCTTTTATATATAATGCACCTACACGAAGAATAAACTGTAAATTAAGCCAAATGCAGATGATGGAAAAAAAAAGGTATTGTGTATTTAAGAAACTTCCTTTAAAACAAATTATTTTATCTCGATCCAAACATTCACAATAGCAGGAAGCAGGATGACAGCGTGTTTACAGCTGTATAATGGCTCCAAACCCAGTAAAGCATCCTCCCTCTGTATTAAGAAAAGATCCTATAAGAGATTAAAAGTAAGATTAGTCCAAAGATTCTTGACTAAATTAAATATAGACAAAAGATACCTATGGGGCACTATTATCTAAAAATCAGTTTAAATAGTGGGGTTTTGCAAACAAATATGCAAATATTGTATTGAAGATTGCTACTTTCTGATGAATCAATGCTCAAAATTTGGGCAAAGTCAAGTCAGTTCCCATATCATTGAAGCTTGGAAGTAGATTTTGGGGGAGATTTTCCAGACATGTTTTGGATGTTACTCCCTTTTTTTCTCACCCAGTATTTTCCTTGCAACTAGCTTCAAAACAGTAGGTACTATGATACATGTTATCCTGAACTCCTCTCCACAGAAGTGGCCATTACAAGGATCCCCATCATATCAATAACAAACAATCAAATTTGGTTTAGGAATTGCACTTTTAAGTGCAAATGACACAATACAGAATGCTATCAGCGATATTTGAGGTAGCTCCAGATTAACTGGCAAAGCTCAAGCACATGGGCTGACAAGAATGCCCTGAGGTTGAACAAAGGGAAATGAAGAATCATAGAATCATCTCTTAGAATCATAGAATAGTTAGGGTTGGAAAGGACCTTAAGATCAAGTTCCAACCCCCCTGCCATGGGCAGAGACACCTCACACTAAACCATGTCACCCAAGGCTCTGTCCAACCTGGCCTTGAACACCGTCAGGGACGGAGCATTCACAACTTCCCTGGGCAACCCATTTCAGTGCCTCACCACCCTTACAGTACAGAACTTCTTCCTTATATCCAATCTAAACTTCCCCTGTTTAAGTTTTAACCCGTTACCCCTTGTCCTATCACTGCAGTTCCTAATGAAGACTCTTGGTTTGGGTTGGAAGGGATCTTAAAGACCATGTAGTTCCAACCCCCTGCCATAAGCAGGGACACCTTCCACTAGAACAGGTTGCTGAAAGCTCCATTCAACTTGGCCTTGTAGACTTCCAGGGATGGGGCAGCCACAGCTTCTCTGGGCAACCTGTTGAGTGCCTCACACTCCCATAGTAAAATATTTCTTCCTAATATCTAAATCTACCCTCTAACCCATTCCTGCTTTCCTCTTCAGATTTCTTGTAGGTCCCCTTTAGGTACTGGAAGCTGCTATAAGGTCTTCTTGGAGCCTTCTCTTTTCCAGGCTGAACAAGCCCAACTCAGCTTATTTTCATAGGAGAGATGTTCCAGCCCTCTGAGCATCTTTGTGACCTCCTCTGGACTTGCTCCAGCAGCTCCATATCCTTCTTATGTTGAGGACACCAGAACTGTACACAATACGCCAAGTGAGGTCTCACGAGAGCAGAGTGGAGGGGCAGGATCACCTCCTTCGACCTGCTGGTCACGCTTCTTTTGATGCATCCCAGGATACAGTTGGTTTCTGGGCTTCAAGCACTCGCTGCCAGCTCATGTTGAGATTATTGTCAACTCCAAAAAGTCCTTCTCCTCAGGGCTGTTCTCAGTCCAGTCTCCACCAGCCTCCGTTTGTGCTTGGGACTGCCCCAACCAAGGTACGGTATCTTGCACGTGGCCTTGCTGAACAACATGAAGTTTACCTTGGCCCACCTCTCAAGCCTGTGAAGGGCCCTCTAGATGGGATCCCTTCCCTCCAGTGTGTTGACCGCACCACACAGCTTGGTGTTGTCCTGCCTGTTGTGAACACTCCTGGCTCTTAGCTGGGTCAACCTGACTTGTGGTACACTCTACATTATGCACTTCATTTGACAAATACTCAGGACAGGGATTTCAGACATTAACATGTTCAGGTCAGCTCTGGATCTCCACTGTTATTGTATGCAGTTTGGAAATAACCAACCAGAATTTCAGCAAGCAGCATGTACTGCCTTTAAATGAAGAAGAAAACTGAAAAAACATGCTTCTCTATTCATGTTTCATTTCTCAGCCACCCCTATTGCCTATTCCCTTTTATCTTCTCACTTTCAAAAATAGCACCAGAAGTAAAAAGCTTTACCTTTTACATTTAGTTGTAGTCCCCTCCTCTAAAAACAAACAAACAAACCAGTAATAGCAAAAGAAAACACAAGACTTTTAGACAAACAGGTTTATAAGGTTTATTTTCCATTGCACATACATGGATTATATACAAGTTAGTAACATAAGTTACTTCTTAATCTTCTAAAAGATTGTTACAGCAAACACTTGCCATTTTAAAACATCAAGTCAGAAATCAATCTAAAAAGGTAAATATGACAATATTTTAAAAATGAAACAAATTGCACTTTGTTAGGGAGAGTCAAATACAGGTCTGGCTATATGCTGTAACAAACTATATAGCAGGTAATATTACAGTTAGAAGTAGCTCTTGCAGTCCATTTGTACATTAATAATTCTTTTCAATTTTACTGAATTAAAAACCGGTGGATATTTCAAAGACTTCCTCTTCTTCCTAGTATTCAAGAGTCATCACATGAAAGGCGCTAGCAACTAAGTCTTTATACAACTGCTATTCAAATATAAGAAGAACACCATACCTGGAAATAAGGAAAATATCCTAACTCATCCTGATAGGCCATGTCTCACGAGATGAGGAGTACGGGAGGTGTTCAGCAGTAAAGCCCTGTCCTCTACTTACATAACAGAAAATCTTAAAAAATAATCACTGCACACAACACAAGGGATGGGGTCATACTGTAGTTTGCAAGTCTCCGGTAACAAGAATATTGCTCATCACTGCTCACAGATGAGTGTTTCCATAGCAAACTTGCTCTCAAAGTGTCGAATCTTTCGGCAGTTGCCAGCTTCTCGCTTCTGAATTCCTGTTTGTGTTAGTGGAGAACAACGAAGGGCAAACAGAAGAGGGGATGATGGCATGTCAGTGACACAATGGCTTTACATTTGCTATGATGTCATCAGAAATCAGAACTACTATTCTTTGATCCCCTGCTCAGAGGGAATGCACACAGGCACACGTTCATATGGAGAAAATCAGTCATCAGGCAGCAATCCTGATGGTGTAGTGACCCAAATCCTAGTTCTGGTTTCAGTTAAAGCCAGCTTGCCAACTCCCCCACAGGCTAATTTGAACCCAGATCAGTTCCCAGTCTCCCTCTCTGTATGCCTACAAAAATGGTTGTGAGGATGTGAGGGAACAGTGAAGGAGTAAACCAGTAACTAAACTAACTTAAAAATGGCTTTAATGACAAGAAGAATCTACAATTCATAGAATCTAAGAATGGTTTGGGTTGAAAGTGACCTTCACGATCATCTCATTCTAATCCCCTTTCCACTAGACCCAGTTGTTCAAAGCCCTGTCCAGTATGGCCTTGAACACTGCCAGGGATCCACAGCTTCTCTGGGCAATCTGTTCCAGTGCCTTACCAGCCTCATAGTGAAGAACTCCCTTCCTATCTACCCTCTTTTGATTTAAAGCCATTCCCCCTTGTCAGATCACTACATGCCCTTGTAAAAAGTTGCAATTCTGAACTTGGACTACAAGGCTATGGCATCTCTTATATTAAAGTGAGTTTGTTTGGGTTTTTTCTGTTTTGGGGTGGGTGGGTCAAGAAACAAGATTAAAGAAAGGCCTCCATGAAAGCCTGAACCACAGAAAACACAACCATGCACACACACACACATTTTAGCAGCTCCTAGCTTATGGGGCCTTAAGTACTTCTGCACAATAAAATGACTTATTTCCATAGCTCCACAGAAAATATCAGACGTACTTAAGCCCACAAAGCTGGCTACTGCCATAAGGAACACCTGCTTTAATGAGAGTGATTTCTTTCAACACAATCAAGTCTATTTATTAAGCTTTCTGCCAACTCCAAAGATGGAAGGAGGAACCTTACCTCTCATGGCTTCTTTGCGCTGTAATTTATAAGTTTCCTTCCCACGACAGAGGCGGTAAATAAAGAATCCCAGCTGATCCACATTTTCAATGCGATCAGTAACAATCATCTGTTCATGAATCAAATAGGACTGAGGCAAGTATGTTCCAGCCTGTTGAAAAAATGTAACAGCTCTGTCAAAAGCTGTCTTTTCCTGATCTGAGCACACACGAAACACTTTAGAAGTGTTCTTTAACTCGGCTGTGACATAACTTCATAGAATTCTTTCAGAATATATATTACCCACAGGATTTTTACTCTAAATGTGTACATGACTGCACTGCACTAGAGATAAATAATGATTATATTCAAAAAGGTTACAAAATGTCCATTGATGCACACCTCCACCACCCTCCTGCCACAGTAACTTCAGGGTTCAGTAGAGAAGAAATGTTTCCTTCCAGGTGCACCCCCTGTCCCAGATCAGTCCTACACTTACCATCCACAGTTTTCACTTCATTAACAACATCCTAACAGAGCTTCCAAAGAGGAGTTGGCAGAAACATGCTCCACACGGAGCTGCTATGAAGCATGCCAGCTGCAGCCTACACGGTTTGGGAAGCCTCATGTGACACCATGAACAGTGTGGATCACAACCCTCAAGCCAAACGCAAAACCCTCTAGCCCCATAAGTCATTATGGTGATTCCCACAACTGTTCCTGTGGAAAGGTATTAGAAAGTCATAGTGGTATATCAGGTGTTTTAAGGCAACATGCTGAAAAATGAAGAGCTGCGAAGGATTCCCAAGCCTTTTGCAGCCCCTTCTGTGTTATTCTGCCATGGCTGAAGTGATTGAGGAACCCAGTTCTGCGCACACCTGGTTGCATGCATCTGAAGATGCCCACACTTGGCTGTCAGCTGATTTCCCAAGACTGCCACTGGTAAATGGCCATCAACTTCTTTCAAATACTGCTTCATTTAAGAAATCCTGTTAGTGTGATCCTCGTTTATGGCAGTAGAGAAGGTGTGGCTTGCTTGCTTAAAGTAAAATGATCACTTACTATGGAAACAAAGTCAGCTTCTGTGGTGAAAGACTGCTGTATTGACAATAAACTTGAAATTTCCATTGCAAAACAAGACTGCCTTTTCAGTCCAAGTGACATGCTGAAGAGTCGCCAACCGAATGCTGTTCTCTTCAGTAAAGAAAGGACTAAAATTCACTTTAAATTATGAAAATTTTCTTCAGAATGTACTATGAGGAAAACAACAGCAATATTTTTTTAAGTAAGAGCTTGGAAGACTTCACACTCCTGAATTATCCCACTAGATATTTGGTAATTAAATCACTGTAAATTACTGTATCTTAACTGCTGGTCTCCCGAATTTCAGCAGGGCAGGGCACTGGCAGAGTGGGCACTGCTGGTACTCAAGCCTTGGGGCAGCTTGGGAGGACACTCCTGGGCTGGTGCCCTCTAAATCACAGGACCTCCTGGACCACTCCAAGGACATGGCCTTCTCAGCCCTCTTGCGGGGGTACAGGAAGAGGGAGAGCTCAATGCGGGAATCTCCTCTGCCCAGCTGCTGCACAAGCAATTACCGACCACTGGGATCCAGCACAGCCACAAATATCATCACCTTTGAGACATTCAGTGCATCACATATGGTTAAAATTGGCCAGTTGGCTCAGCAATGGGAAGGAGGTGGATGAACAAATATTAGACCTGGGTTTCAGCTTTGCTTCCCAAGGAAACGAAGCCTTTCACTGTCTGCACATTCAAGCAAACTGTATCAATGTATAAAAATGTGGTTCTTTAAAAGAAAGCCGTTATTTTAGCCTAAGAAACAAAACAGCCCATAGCACTTCCACTTTCATGAAATGCCCTCTGCATGTATTCAGAGCTCATTTTAATCAAACCAGCACTTTAATATTATGCATATTTTCCTTGTGCAACCAGTGTGGCCGGAGGACAACGAGCAGAAATTTACTCACTTTGTGCATTTGCAGAATCATTTCCCAAATTTCAGTTACAAAATATTTAACCTGATTTTCTGAGACATCAAATGCCCACAGCTTTTTTGTTAATACAATGAGAATTAAACAGATGTCTCATAAAATTAGGGCACTCGCTGATTGGGACAATGATCAAAACAGTTCGCTTTTGCACAGATTTCCAATTAAATGCATGATGCCTGGTTATCCTCTTACTTGTAAACCAAGTATATTTGATTTAGTACTAATGACAAAGTAGGAAATTAGCAGATTTTAACAGTGCAGTTTGTGTGAACTAAAAATGGAAATAGAACAGCATACACAAAATAAAAAGATACAGGGTCACTGAGTTTTACAGACACCACCTCATCCTTGTGTACAGGAAATGAAAGTGCGGTTAAATAGCCAGTCTCAAAATAGGCAGCAAAAACGCAGCAGAGGACTTACTTGTGAAGTCATTTCTCACATGAAATTCATTTATATACACAAACCACTAAGAAATGGCTGAAATGGTTCCTGAAGGCCTAATTCCAAAGCCTTTTTTGGAAGATGCAAACCCAAAGACAATAATAAAAATTCTGAAGTTACAAAAGCCCAGTAAAATGAAATTTATAACACTTTCCCCAAATCTTATACACAAGTTATCAGCTCTCTTCCCCATCAAGAGTGTTTTGCTGTTCTATAAAGAAACCAAGACAAAAGCTATATGAATCTGCATTAAAACATACATATGTAAGAGTTAAAAAGAAAGATAAAGATGATTCATATTAAATTAGTAAGAGAGCCCATTAGATTTTCTACTTTGGCCTCCTCTATTTCACAGGCCATTATGTTTCACCCAGTTTCTCCTCCTAACAGAACAGCATGTCCCCGTGGTGGCGACAAGCCAGCCAGCACCACGAGCCCAGCAGTAGTGTTCAATCATCAAACCCTGCTGGGAAGTCATTAGGAGCTCCCACTACATGATACTGAAAACTCATGTTGGGCTGTTCAGCGACTGTGGTTATCTCTGTCCTTTCCATGGTCCTTGTTTTTAAGGCCAAGGAATCTTGTTCTGAAGGTCTGGTGCTTGCAAGAATCTTAAGTGGGTTTTGCTAACCATACAGTCCAAACTGTCATTACTACAACAAAACCTGACTGGAAACAGGAAGGTGGAATCTCAAGGAAGTGGAAGCCTCATGAACTTGGATGCAGCGCTAGCCCATCACACCTTGTGTGATGTGTGCCACATATCTCATTTCCCAGGGTGTGCATAGCAGATCCAACACACCTCACACCCTCAAGCTGCCAGATCAGGTCAAATTAGGAGCCAACCCTAGGGACCTAGGCCTCAAACAATGCCCATGTTAAAATGATTTCCCAGTATATCCACTTCAGGCATCTCAGCTAACCAGTCTTGGTGGATTACAAAGAAAAAAACACACATGACTATCAAAGAGTCAAGGTACACCACATTCACATTATTTTGTCAGCCAAATTTGTACCATGGAAAAATAAAATCGCATTTGTTCAAATTAACAATTCCTTCAGGAAGGTAATTAATTAACTAAGAGCACTGTAGACTTTCTTCTCTCTTTGCAAAAGTCTCTAGTGATTAGTTAACTAATACATGCGCTTTGTGTGAATGCCAGAGTTAGCTGAGGGGCAACGTCTCCTCTTCCCCTGTCTTAGGAACAAATCACTTACTATTTAACCATACCTTGATGTTGATCAGCAGCTCCAGGAAATTTTTTGGTGGCATAACAACGGAAGTGTTGAGAGGAATCACGTAGCACTTATCCAGGCTAAGGTCAAGGTAGGCTGTGAGTCTCTGCAGAGGAAGTATTTAATCAAAATTACAAGAACATCAGAAAATTTCACATACAGACTTTGCTGAAGTGCTATTGCCTCCTGTTGTTCTTCAAATTATCGTTTTGTTCACTATAAAACCTGTCCAAACAACCCCAATTTGAGGGTAGGTAAGTGCAGAAATAAAAGGCAGCCTGATGAGAGTTTAAATCTATGACAGGGATTTGTGCAAGGCAGCAGGCGATAAGTAGCTCAAATGCACCACAGTAATGAAATTACAAAGGTGTAGCTGAGCTGTTATGGAATCAAGTACAGTATTCATTTATTCCTAGTGCCTGCATTTTGGAACAGGGAAAAAACCTTGCTCTATTCTCCATGCTTTCATATTTTTGTTATACTGGAAAGGGGAAATACTACTGGGAAGAACGGAATATAGAAGGGAAAATAAAATACTTTCACAGGTAACATAGCAAAAATCCTTTTGTTTTAAAAAAAATACTGGCTTGAAGCATTAATGATTATTCCTAACTGAATCATTATCATTATAGTACCTGAACAGCAGTATTTGTCATTATTTTATAAAGACAGAGATGTAAAAGCTCACGGAATTATCCTGATGAATCCTATGGCTCTGTTCACTGAGCTGTGTTTTACTGCATCTGTTCCTGCTAAACACAACATTATCTCAAGCTGCTGAAAGCTCCGAGGCTGCAGACGTATATAAAATGCTGAGCACCAAGATCCCAACAGTCAAAATAGCACCAGGACAGCAATCATCAGTGCAGTTAATCTCATTACATGGGAGTAAGTGCTGTGCCTATGGCAAATGATCCTTGCACTGACCTTTAGAGCACAGCCTTTAACCCATTAAATCAAAAAGTAGATTTCCAATATTGTCCCTATTCACTTCTTCCCAGCCCCCCTCTTTTTTCCTGGTTTTTCCTCTTTAGAGTCTTTGCTCTAACTCTTAACAGAAGCTCCCTAAATATATTCAGGAATATTAAATGACATAGCTTGAGCAAGCAGTGTTTTCCTCCAGATCTGGTTATGAATATTTGATACACAGAACCCATTCTGCCTGGAAAATTGTAACTCTGAGGTTTGCATTAAAAAAATAGGACACTTCCCTATTCTTTTTCAGCCTTGCTTTAAAAAGCTGCTCAGTGAAGTCCTCAAATGTTCACAGAAATTCAGCTTCCTGAAAACCAGCTGCAGAACATTTCATCGCTATCAGACAGCTTCCATCAGGCTGCTACAGAAAAAAGGGTTTCTAAATGTTTTACAGATCTCGCCAATATCAAGAGCTGTAGGCCTGTCAACTGCCTTAGCAAAAAAATTCATTACCATGATCCCTATCAATGTTGTTTCTCCAAAAAAGAAAGAAAGAGCTAAAAATGCTAGTTCAGTGCCTTTAGGAATCACAGTAGCCTGTGGTGCACAAGGCTTCCTAAGGCACCTGAGAAAAGAGCTCTCTTCCAAGGTCAGACAACTCATTGCTTCCTTCCCTTTCTGCTGCTGCTTTGGGCTTTTTGAGCCATGCTCAGAGAGCACCTCTGGGGGTGCCTGAACCTACTCATGTCAGAGGCAATCAGTCCCTGCAAGCTGAGGTCAAAGCTGTGACAGCCCTTTCCAAACTCCCCTGGCACCACAGCAGCTGGTCAAATTGTGGATTGGGGGACTTAGCACAGCACAAACTATGTTTTCTTTACTTCCTCATACTAACAAAAGGAAACAACTCTAAGATTTTTTCCCTTTCTAAAAACAGAATTGTATTTGCAAATGGTGTTTTACAGACTCCCTCATGATGACTGTATAATGCTGTACTTTGTATGCCCAGTTATTATTGCTTGCAACCTGCTGCTGATCAAAACGTTTCTGCTGCCTCCTCCACCCTCTGCTTTCCCCCACCACAATAATTAGGGAGTACGCGTATCAGGATGACTGAGGGGGAGCATTTTTCCAGTTTTAAATGCTTTCAAGCTCTTCAGAAGTACTTCTTACCCGGTGGAAGTCATGGACAATATCAGCAGGATCACTATCAGCAAACTCAGGGACTGGCACACTGATAAACTCAACATCTTCCTCCTCCAGGATCTGAATATTTTGCTCAATCGTATGGTAGCGAGCACTCTGAGCCTCTGCCCCAGACTCGGGTAAGCTTAAGCCATCTTCAATGTACTTTATTCCACAGAAATACACGCCGCCCTGCTAAAAATAAACAACCCAGCAACAAAAACATCATCAGCCTACAAGTTTAAAACTAATATTCTCAAAGCACAGTGGAGAAGAAAAACCTGTCAGCCTAGATGAAATGTTTTCCCTTTAATTTGACCTATACACCAGAGCAGGAGCCAGCTGCTATCTACAACAGGACCATGGATAAAACCTTGATTGTAGTGAACCCAGAGAGAGTCCTTCCCTGGAATTCAAGGAAAACAGGATCCCAAAAGCAGGTTCTTAAAATCTAGTCTTCTGTTATGCATCCATTAGCTGTGGCACACTGTTATCTTATTTTTAGAAAGACAATGAAGTTCCTACATCTACATACAGGCACATTATTGTCGAATTATTATCTAACTGTGGTCAATAATTACAACTTAAAATACTGAAACTGATCATCCAGATCACCTTTAAAAAGCAAGTCTAACTCCGAATTTTGTCAGGCTCGCAGCAGTGGGTTGGACCAGGTGACTGCAAGAGGTTCCTTCCAACCTTGATTATTCTGTGAAGTCGCTTAAGTTTTTGCAAAGCTTCAAAAGTTTTGAAAGTCAGTTTCTAAAACACTTCTGAACAGTTTTAAAAGACAAACAAATAATAGGAAATAAAACAACCAATTTTGTCACAGTACACATGGCAGGTTACTTAAATGAAGTATAAAGTCCTGAGTCAGAGGAAGTCATATCCCAAATTTATATGCCAGATATAGTTTTAGAAACATACAACTTATGTATATGCACGTGCCATCAATTCCAAGTTCTAAATTGGAAACACATCCTCAGTGCAATTCAGCTCAATTCCTGAATGTCTCTTTCAACCCAGATCTGACATAAACAAATTTGAATGAAAAGGCACCTTCCATTTCAGCTAGCTGGGATGTGAAAGGTGGAGCACTGAAGGTGTAACGGATGGAACATGAGTTAGTGTTACAATGGGCCTTCAGCTACTCTCAGCTTGTTAATCCACCAAGATATGCTATGCTGTTTAAGCATCACTTGCAATACTACTGCTCCCCTATGAATCAGGTTAACGTGACAGGCAAACAGACTATAAACTGCAAGTTCAGCTAGAATTTCTCATGTTTAATCACTCTGCCTTTCTCATTTGCAGCTACTAAAATGGGGAGAAAAACAATAATCCCAGTAGCAGGGACAAGAACACAGAATTTATACCTTATAATTACATGCACTAACCAGAGGGCTAGAGGGATTCATGTTTCACTTATACTCTCCCTTTCTGACTGTGAATCTTGCAATCTTGGCAGTTTCTGAAGGAGAGAGGGTGTGCTCACACCACTTGGGCAACATCCCAGCATATATCCAATGCTGCCCAATGACAATTCTCCCTGAGGAAGACAACATTTAACTCAGGTCTCCCGTACTTTGGGTAAATGCTCCACTTCCCCGGCACCACTGTCTTCAAAGGGTTCCCACTGCAGCAGTACCACTTGTTAAAAGACTGAAAATACATTTTGTCAAGAGGTCTGATCTTGTCAGTGTGGATTAGACTTGACAGAGCATGTTTAACCACGTTGACTTAGCTTCTCCCAAGTGCCCCGCAGGGCCTGTATTTTGTATCCCTCTGGAGGCTAGGAAGCGGGAGAATCACTGCACTTCTTTGACAAGCAGTCCCTTTCCTGTGCATGAGCAGTGCTGCATGTGTCTAGGAAACCTGGGGTCAGACAAGGAGGTTTTCAAGGGCTTAATCCACCTCCAGTATTTGTCACTGTGGAACACAGAGAGAGCAGGTGAAAATCTGGGACGCCGCTGCAGTTCCTAAGCCCAAGTCCTACTCAGATACAATCCTTCCTCTGCAAAGCAAGATTTCCAAAAGTGCTGCTCCCTTTTATATGCCAGCTTTGCTTCTGCCCTCCTCTGCTAATAGCTAACTTCAGAGCAGGCCACATATTTTGACTTCAGAGATGCTTAGGTTTTGGAAACAAAAAAAAAAAAGCAGAAAGGCTGTTTGGTTTAGGCTTTTGTTCCTCCTCCCTCTTTTAAACGTTAAGGCATAACAGAGCAAAACACAACCCTCCCATAACGAAATGTACTTGACTTACCTGGAATGCAAAATATTTGTACAGATAGGCACCACCCAGGATCACTCCAGCCAGCATAAAGGCCAATCCGAAGCACATGCACCAGCACCAGGCCCTCCTCTGCCCAACAGGCACAGCATCCTCAGGGTCCTGCAGTGTATCAGAGAGAGACCTTCAGCACACTGCTCCCAAGACATGTATGACACCAGATACTTCAGGCCCAACAAGTACAAACCTTGCATCCACCAGAAAAGGCTATATGCACATTATCACAACTGCTTGGAAACGCATTTTATTTGGTAAAGTTTAAAACCCCTGTTAGGAATACTTGTACTAACAGTAATTGTTAATGCAATTGTCACTGACTAAATCAGCAGACTTCAGTCTTAAGGAATAGAAGAATATAACAAAATCTCCTGAGATACCTAACAGCACACAGTGAGCCACTTTACAGAAAAATAACTGTTCTCAGTCAACCTCTTGCAACATCAGCACAGCCAGGAAGCCAATTCAGAAAGGTCAGATTCTTTTTTATCTTGGTAGATGCAATTTAAGTGAACCTGAAGAACCGACAAAAGATCAAAGGTAATAAGAAGAGCAAAACATCCTTTCCTATACTGTTCCATCAGGACAAAAGAGAATAATATGAGTGGTTATGAAAAAAAATGCTTTGTAAGTTGTTGTTAAGGAACCTTTCTGCTCTGAGACTTTGTTGGCCATGCCTCTTTCTGCTGTTCATGTTATGCTAAAGGATGACAAGATGTTTCCCCTTTGGGGCACTACTTTGCATAATCATGCAGTCCCCATAGGCATCCTAAGCAATTCACTGCTGCTTGCAAAATCTTTCCTCTGTCAGCCACATTACAATGCTCCTTCCTCCCCCAAGTGTTTGCATAACTTGCATCCATAAAAAAAATCAATCAACAAACCGTCTTTTTGAGTCACCCTCTCCCAAGCCATGACAATCCTGGGGAAATACCAAAACTCAAGGAAATACAAAATAATTCATTACTCCTTTGCAACCAAAAAAAAAAACAAAACAACAAAACAGCCGGGTAGAGTGATGACCAGGGCAAAATCATTATGGCCAAATAAACAAAAAAACCCAAACCATAAAATGGGGGAAGAGCATGAGAAGGGCGCTTGAGGAGGCATTGATAGCTCTGGTTGCCAGTTGATGTTCTGTCAGATGGTGTTCCCCTCATGGTGGAAGTTTGCAGCATTTGCTAATGAGGATGATTTCCCACTTGATCAAAATTGTGGGTGTAGTCCCCACACTGCCTTGGCCCAGTTGGAAAGAATTCCCCTCATCCAGCTGAAACCATCTAAGCAAATCTAATGTTAGGGGATCCTTCCTGTAAATGGCAGGGAGAAAGAGGCACTTCCTGAGACAGACTCATCCCAACAATCCCCAAGAGGGAGAAGCAGTCTTTTGGAGGGACTGATTTCACTGGTTACAGGGGGAAATTCCTTGTTTAACTAGGTACCTACTTCATATGCAGCTAGCACTAGGTGATGTGACCCACCCTTACAGTACACTGCAATTACCTTTCATACAGAAATGGCAATGCAGCTTCTTTGCCAGGCAACTGCTGCCAAAATCTGATTTGGAAATATTTAGAGTCAAAGTGAAGATATTTCGCAGATTTTGTTTTACGTTACCTTGTGAACTACTGCAGTAAATTAGATTGTGAAATCTCCATTTTTGGAGGTTTTCAAGACTCAACTAGACAAAGCCATAGCTGATCTTGCTTTGGCAACCATCCTGTTTCTAAAGGGAGGTTGGACCAGATGACTTCCAGAAGCCCCTTCCAACCAACATTTCTGGGATACATTACAAGACAAAGTGAGCGCAGCTAGAAAACAGTTGCCATGGCCTGAAAAAGCAGACTGAAAAGACAAGTAGCAGCTTTTAAAAGCTTTTACATTACTAATTATTTAAGGAATTCAGTGTAAAGAATCACAGGATTACTGGCCTCATGGTTTTTTAACCTGGCTGTTTGTAAAGACTCAGAATGGGACATAATACCCATGGTAATCTAATTAACTTTCAGATCAGGTTAAGATTCACTGTGGATTCTTTTATAAATCATCTCAATTATAAATCTAAACCAGGTAAAACAAGGATTTTTATGTTGCCCTGTATCATTAGGTAATTATTTCCCCAGACATTTCAGAGCGTAAAGGGCACCAGATAGAAACTTTTTTAAATAATGTAATTTAAACTGTTGTAAATTAATGTCAGAAACAAAGGATAGCAAGCTGGCTTTGGGACAGAATGCCAAAATATTCCCTAGTAAAGAATACAGAGTATCTTTATTCTTCCCCAGTGCAGATTTTACACCCCCCGCTTTTTAAACTCCAAGCAGAATCATCCATTAGTGCAATAATTGCCTCTTCCAATTTTAGATCATTTTCTAGGTTCAGAAAGACTAACAAAATAAGCATCTGGGAAACGGTGCAGAAGGCACACACAGTGTGAACACCTACCTGGTAATGGGGATTAATGTCAAATTAATTTTGCATAGGCCACAAAAATAATCAGTAAAAGGAAAGTAACTTTTACCATGCTGGAGGAACCTGAAGAAGTTTATGAGTATTACACCCTAAAGAATTTTGGTTAGATATATGAGGTGACAGAGGTAAACAACAGGTTTAATACAACTTTCTTATCCTCTAACAGCAGGCAAATTTAATCATCATTATTTCTGAAGGCATCCCTAGTGGTAGCATGTTAAGCTATTTTGTATTTGTAGTTGCCTATTGCATCTGTTTGTCCATAGTCTACTGAAAACAGCACACCAAATTTAGAGCAAGAGTTCAAGCCCAGTTTAGCCTCTTGCTTATGTGGATGCATGAAGGTCTTGCATCTCACTGCAGAGGAACCATATGCATTAAGTAACACTGAAAACACTTTATGCTGTTGAAGAACACAGAATTGATTTCCTCTTCTGAATTTGAAAACTAAGTACATTATCCAGCAGTTTAAAACCACCTTAAATTATTATAAATACCCTACTGAAGCTAAATTATACTCGTATTAGTAGCTGTCCCATGGCTAAGCTGGCTAAGCTGCTGTACTGCTGCCATGACGGCTTAGTTTGGGCTGAACTGACCCAAAAGACTAATTCAACCCTCGCTATATAAAGGACCATCCGCACTGAAAGAGAAGAAAGTGTGATGGATGCTCACCCTCCTTCCAGGTGACTCATGTTCTGAAAGAAAATACATTAAGTGAAAGAGGATCCCTACCAAGAGGGACAGTGCTGAATTAGCACCTCTTGCCACATAGTTCCCACTGCACTTTGTTCCCAGATGGCAGCAATGGCTTCTGAAGCCAGAGCACAATATGATATTGCAGCCTCGGTGACTATTTTTTCTCTAGGTCAGCCTTCCGCTGCCAGAGGTATCTGACAAAAGAAAGCATCATGTACTTGAGGTCAAGACTGACCTCTAAAAATACCTTTCTCTACTTTTGTGTGCAGTAATAACTCATTATTGCTGTTCTGGTCCTTTTCTTTCTCCTCTTCTGCTTCATCCTTACCCTGTGTACTTCCAACTCCCTGGTGAATCCTCAACCTTAGGATGATGCCACAGAACTAATCTTCTCTGATGCAAAATGCCTTAGGAGGAACTGGATGCAAGCCCAATACTGGCTTTTTTCCCTCGATGAACTGATTGTTCTAATTGGAAAACATCTGATTAGCCTACTTCCCATGGACAAGACACAAAACAGAAGTATCTTTCTGCCACTTGTACACTAAATCCTACAGTGTTAAATGGTTTGGAATTTCCCAACCTGAATAGTTTCAAGCTCTGCAGGAACTACTTTAGATAGAAAATGTACTAAATTCTCTGTTATTTGAGATTGGAAAGATTCAAGTCTATCTTCTTCTCACAAAGAAGGTTTGAGATGGTATGAGAAGGTCCACTTTTCCACGATGATGCCTTCATCAGTGACCACAGTAGCTAATGTAAAGCTGCACTTATTACGAGAACCATGAAACACTCTGGAGGCAGACAAATGCTACCACAAACTAACTACCAAAGCACCTCTCAACTACAGAGAAATCATCACAGAGACATGAGTGGATTAAAAGAAAAAAAAAATGTTAATGCCCCCTAAATCTACAAACAGTCGCAGTTATTAACAGCTACTGGCCATGTATTCTGTTGCTCTTTTCACTGTTCAATTCCAATGCTACTTTTCTTTCTAAGTAAATGCTGAATTTCAAAAAGGACCAAATTCATGTTTGGGATAACAGCACAAAATTCTTCCAAGAAGCTCCAAAACTGAGCCACAAATGTGTATAATTAGACTTGGTAATTACTTAGATTTTCCCCTTGTGGCTTTTTGTACATAGCGGAATATAATTGCTTTAACATTATAAAGAAAAGCAGTCTAAAAACTTACAAGGCATATGTCTAGTTCATATAAAAATGGGTGAGATTATCAGACCTCTTTCCTTTGCAGGAATTAAGGCCACATCAATTAATGTGATTTAAAAAAACACCAACATATGAACCCATGAAGTAAGGATCCACCTAAATCAGATTAAGATGGTTATGCTGTGGGGAGTGCAGAATATTGCATGGCCATTGTGCACCTATGCAAAAAATAATGGCCCAATTTAAAAGTAGGTACAACAGCATCACAAATAATTTTGCAAGGGGGAAATGTCTTTCAGTACCAACACACAGTCTTTGATCCACAGAAAAATCAGATGCAAAATATTACTATTACAAGTATTACTAAAATGTCTGCAGCATAATACACACAGTTATTCTCAGAGGCATAATTCTGGACATTTAATGTGTGTGTACATATATGTATACACACACATATAAAATCTTACAATTAATGTGCACAGAACTGGCTATAAGCTCACAACAGTTTTCTTCCGAGGTCTTTTGCATGACAGCGCACACGGATGGACAGAGTGCAGTGGGGCAGACTGAGCCTCCTAAGGGCAAATATTGACCAAGTGCAGCTTTAATTAGCGGAGCAGGGAGAAAGGAAGTTACTGATGTCTCCCTAAATGTGTTTTTTAATGAGGGACACTAAAAAGTCTTGAAATAAAATACTGACCATCGCTGTATAAACTGAATTCTCTTGGTCAGGCTTGCCTGCTTTGACTTGTAAATCTGAC